CCTCATTTGAACAAAATTCTAATCGATTCTTAATAAGGAAATCATCGATTTTTGGTCACTGTTCATCATCTTCTTCATCTGGCTAGTTTTGAGTATTATCATTCTTAATCACCAAACTTCAATTAAATTATATAAAAATGTTCTCCAATGTTCACAGATCATTTTAGAGTCATAAATTCGTAGTTTTAATATCAAATTCAAGGTTTATGATTCTTAGCTCTTCAAGCATGTCAAACACAAAACTCAACCAAATGACTAATTATGAACATAGAAACGACCTATATGAATATTCTAGTCATTAGATATATATCTACGGGCTTACCTCGAAGCGTAATGGAGGTTTTGAAGATTTTCCGGCGAAACTTCCGGCAACGATTACTCTCAGCTCCGGCGACTTCACACAAAATTGGTAGCACCACAATACTCCTCACATAGTCACACTCTCAAGAATAGAATAGGAAGAAGAATAAGCTGATTTGGTGAAGAAATGGAATGGTTGAGCATTGCTTATATAGGAAGGTGATGGAAAAGAAGACATAGAATGCTGAGTCAGGGATCAACTAGCCGATCTTGAAACGGCGGAAATCACCTTCTGCGAGATTCACACGCAGCTCCCTGATTGGGACTAATTTTGGTCCCAGTCACGTACACTTTTTGGTCTAACTTTCTCTGAAATGAAATCCGTTTGCACCGTTGCGATCGTGCGATTAAACTTTATCCAACGATATAATTTTTATTTTTATTCGTTATACTTTTTCCGACATCATTTTTTTTTGGTGTTTGACTTTGATAGAGTCAAAATTGATTTGTTTGACCTTTACTCAAAACGGTACTCATACTAAATTCATAATATTTATTCTCATGATTTATTTCAAGAAACCATTTCAAAGTTTATATCATAAACACATTATTCATTTAGTCTTGATTTTGGGTCTCTACTCAGGTCCAATCAAGGTCACACAACAAATCAACATATTGGATATATCTTCCAATTATATTTATTGGATATCAATACATATTTTATTTTGGCCCAAAGCCCAACAATAATTTATTTTAGTCAAAATAAATTTGATTAATTGAATAATTATCTATTAAAAATTTTAGGATATGTTTTGAGCGTTACAATATCCATGACTCGAACTTCTGCCACACTCTTTCCGATTTGTTAGTTGGTGGTTGGTCAACGTTTAATAACCGAATAAGTTCTAAAATGCAGTAAGAATAAGTGTTAGTGGTCATGAAAAAAAATGAACAAAAGTAATATTGTAAGTTGGAAAGTAAATTTGTGAAACTTTACCAAACATGACTCGATTTTGAATATCTATGGCATTGTTTAGCTCTTTGAAATTGCCAAAGTTGAAAATAGTTTCATGAAAAGAGTCATCATTCACATCTGTTATAAGGGTATCTTGAACAAATGTAAGTTTGTACTGATTGTCTCTCAACCATTGAGTATTCTTTGAGACGATAGGGTTCTGTATCCCATGTAATTGACCCTTCTTAAGCAAAGGCTTAAAGCGTGGGATTAAAGGCTTCTCACAAAAAGCATGTATACGATATTCATATAGTCATAAATGAAAATAATTAATGAAATAACGAAGAAGAGGAATTGTGAAGTTAAAAAATTTACACTATCATAAACCTGGTCATCTTGGAAAATAGCTTCATGGCCATAGATTGTGTTCTCTATACTCTTTCTTGTTTTGAGATTGTAATGACACAAAAGTCTTAACTTTACAGCATCACGATGGCGAGCAGGATGTACCCTGTTGAGAGGAACCCAACTAGAGACATATTTTGCAGTTTTTTGGAATTTTTTTTGCAGGAGGAAAGTATGAGGCATGTGATACAGCACAAGGGAGAGCCACACCCTAAAAGCTAGCTGTTAAGGTGGGAGAACCCTTGGCTATATAAACCCATCACCAAGTTCTCCATTTAACCAGTGTGGGACAACGAAATCAGTCTGTATCATTCGACCACCCATAAGGCCCAACGTCCTCGTTGGTCACGACTACGTTGGTCACGGCCACGTTGGTCACGGCTGGTTTCACCAGGCCACCACTCTGTAGGCCACCACTCCGAGTTGGCTCTGATACCATTGACTCGCTCGGCAAGTAAGGTAAGCGTATAGGAGGGGGTTGACAGTAGACAGCCTCATATGGGGTCATGTGAATGGAGGAATGGAAGGTAGTGTTATACCACCATTCAGCTAGGGGAATCCATTTACACCAGTCCTTAGGATTGTGAGAACACATGCACCTCAAGTAAGTCTCCAAGCACCTGTTTAACACTTCAGTTTGTCCATCAGTTTGGGGGTGATACGCAGTAGACATCAAGAAATCAACGCCATGAATGGTGAATAGGGACTTCCAGAATTGGCTAAAAAAAATAGCATCCCTATCACTTACTATAGTGCTCGGCATGCCATGCAATTTGAACACATTATCAAGATAACTCTGAGCTACTTCTAGAGCAGTAAAAGGATGAGAGAGAACCATAAAATGAGCATACTTGCTCATTCTATCTACTACCACAAAAATCACATCCATGCCCATAGATTTAGGTAATCCTTCAATGAAGTCCATAGAAACATCTTTCCCTATTTCAGTAGGTATTTGGAGTGGCTGCAAACGTCCAGGATAAGCTGAATTGTCATACTTACAGGCTTGACATGTTAGACATCTTCGTAGAAATCGAGAAACATCTTTGTTCATCCCCTTCTAGTAAAACACGGCCTTTAGTCTTCTCAGGGTGGCCTCCCTACCCGAATGTCCTGCTACAGGCGAGGAGTGTCCCCACTTTAGCAACTTAGTTATGAGTTCATCATTAGGACCTACAACCAACTTCCCTTTTCTTCTTAGCTGATTTTCCACCCATGTATAGTGCGGTACTATTTTACTCTGTTGTAGGGACTGTATATATGATTGTATGGTGGGATCTCCTTGCCAACTGTTTTTAATGTCTTCCAACAACGATGAGTCAATGGTAGAAAGTGCCAAGCATAATAATTCTGCTCCCGTTTGCCTCGAAAGGGCATCTGCAACTGAGTTCTCCTTTCCTTGTTTGTATGGTATTTCATATGTATACCCCATAAGCTTAGACAACCAAAATTGGTGAAATGGGGTGGATATCTTACTCTCAAGTAGCCATTTGAGACTTTTCTGATCAGTTTTGATAATAAAAGGTTGATGAATCAAGTATTGCTCCCACTTTTGTACCGCGAAGACAATTGCCAGAAGTTCTTTTTCATAGACCGACAAGGCCTGCCATCTTGTTCCCAGGGACCTACTAATAAAGGCTAGGGGGTGTTGTTCTTGCATCAACACCGCTCCAATTCCTCCTTGGGAAGCATCAGTTTTGACTACAAAGGTTTTTGTAAAGTCGGGCAGGGCTAAAACTGGGGCCGTACAGAGAGCTTCCTTTAAAGAGTGAAAGGATGATGCAGCTTCTTCCGTCCATTGATAAGAGCCCTTCTTTAACAGGTCAGTGAGGGCTCGACTGATAGATGCGTAATTCTGGACAAATTTACGGTAGTACCCCGCAAGTCCCAAGAAACTCCTCAATTCCTTGAGATTAGTGGGCGTAGGCAAATTTAGGATAGCCCCTATTTTCCTGGGGTCAGTGGACACCCCTTGTCCGGAGATGAAATGACCTAGGTACTCCACTTTAAGCTCCCCAAAAGAACACTTACTCCTTTTTGCCAACAATTGGTTTTGTCGCATAGTATGAAATACCTCTCTTAAATGTTTATAATGAAGCTCCCACGTAGCGCTCTAGATGAGAATGTCATCGAAGAAAACTAACACTGATTAGGAGAGCGACACCCTAAAAGCTAGCTGTTAAGGTGGGAGAACTCTTGACTATATAAACCCATCACCAAGTTCCCCATTTAACCGGTGTGGGACAATGAAATCAGTCCGTATCAGCATGAAAGAAATATTTATGACAGAGGAAGGAGTTGTGCGATGGAGGTTCGTAGGCCATGAGGGAGTTTATCGCGGGTATGCAGAAGTTTTTCCTCAGGATTCGTCACATGTGGGCAGTTGTGGTTTGCGAGTGGGGGTTAGCGGTTATGGCTCTCGCGTGTACTTTTGTATCTGAAATCAACGCTTTAGATTTGTCTATTTTTTCAAAATTGAAATTGGGCCTTTGGTAAGAACTTATGGCCAGGATTTGTTCAGTTTTTCTTAGGCAAAATTGGGCCGTTGATTAGTGGATTCGGCAGGAAAATTGGATTGCAATTTTCATTCTGTTCTTATATATATATAATAGACATCTATTTACTACTTTCTATATTATATTACTCCATATGTTCAATTTAAAATCAGAAAAGTCTTTGGTTCCAATTTTTTGAATGTTATTGAGTTGATTACAATGTAATATCTGTTTATACTTTTTTAAATATAATGACACACAAAGAACCAATGATTTCGCTTTTGCTGGGACTCGAACATGAGTGAGCTTCACCCTAAATTTTAGGGAGTGAGCATCCAATCAAGCCAAGAGAGAAATTCGCCTTCCTATTTTTTACTCCATATATTTCAAATCTGAACGTTTTATCTTCTATTTTAACCCATATTTCCAAGCCATTTCACTCGAGACTATATAATATCCTATATTATAAGTTCTCATAGTATCAGGCATCATCAAAAACAATACCCACAGCCTACTGCCATCATCTAGTACAAGTCCCCCCCATCAGCGGAGGTTCATTATTGGTCATATGACCCAATGCGAGAATCATTGACCAAGCTAGAAATTTACGGAGCAAATCACTGAGTCTTACTTTGAGCAGTTTTCTTGAAATAGTCATATGCTTCACAACATCTTTGTTTAATACTCGGCAATTGTTCTTTACAGCTCTCAGACCGTGTCTCGGCAGACGGGAATAAAATCCATAGACACAAAATGGTTCGTTACACAAATGAATCAAAAAGAATATATTGAGAAACAATCAGTAGTAGTACTAGTAGTAGTAGTAGTATGACACATTCAAAGCACAGAATCAACTACAATGCACACTACCCAATATGTCAAAATATACAGTTAAAACTAGTGAAAGGGAATGGAGGCCATCAAGATCAAATATCATTTCGTTTCGGAGTTGTCTAAAGCAGCCTTCAATGACCTCCGTCTGTTCTGAATTTGACTCAAAAACTCCACGATTATGACCTGTAATTTTGGAGCAACCTTAATGGCTGAAGGTATATTTAGCCCCTCCCTCTTCAGAGCCCGTGTTGCGTATTTGTCAGCCTTCTCCATGTGGGGAGAGCAGAGAGATGGAACCACAGATCTCAAAACTGGCTTCCTGCAGTGTATCTGTGTTGGAGAACTGCAAACCAAATAACATACAAGACACGAAGTGAAATTCGAATGGGTTTTCCTCACACCGAATCTATCTCATAATGTGAGTTTTTTTTTTGCATGGGTATTGATTGAAGTTATAGCCTAATAATACCTAGAGATAATTCGATCTAGAATGAAGAAATAAAATCAGGCAAAAGAAAGATATTACATTTAAACACTGTAAAAATAAGAACCTTTTTTCACAAAAAAACAAGAACGAGGAAAGGTATATGATAGCATCCTCACGATTTTAGTGAGCGGAAGCCAGACTTTTTGTACACACTTATGCTTTAATGGGGCGGTTGCTTAAGTGCACGGATAGGCTAGAGCTAGCACTTAAATTCTCAAATGTATACACTTCGTTTTTGAATTCTGGCTGTGTACACAAAATTAATAATGTCAATTAGGCATAACCTACACGAACAAGCCATTTGGACAAGTGAGTGGTAAATACTTGCCTCTCTAGGTCTGTCATTAAAAGAACACTTTAAATCAGCCAAAAAGCAGTCATATCATCAAAACACCCAGAACAAGGTTCTTCATATAAAGTTCCTCTTTTGGGTTTTTTCCTTACCTATCACTATGAGTAATCATCAATACTATCTCCAAAATCATGTTTCATTGTAGCACTTGCAATCGCACCGTTCTAAACACTTTAAATAAAGTAATCCTCTGGGGGGGGGGACTCACACAACATATGGCAATCACATTCATGCATCACCACGAAAAGACAATTCTCATATACAGTACAAACGTGAAATCTTGAAATTGAAACTTCAAGAAATCAAAGGAAAGCCTAACCTTTTAATCGTGAAATTGCACGCCTTGTAGAGCTTCTGCTTGGGGTCTGATAGGATGTGAGAATGACAGAACCTCGTCATGGCCATGGCCTTCGCCTTGCAAGTGCTTACTCCACACCTATTATTGAAATTGTTCCCAACCAGATTGTTTCGGTTAGGGTTTTCCCCAGTTCCCAAAGCGGAATCTACCCCGTTGGGGACGGAGATGTTATTCTCTTCGTTGTCTTCCTGGAAAGGGCTTTTCCCATACTCCCAATAGTACTCGCGGTACTTGAGCTTCAATTCCTCCATCAAAGCCCAGTAATGGTCCCGATATATCCGGGACAGCTGCTTCACCCGACGAGATCGCCGCCGCAAAACCTCAACCCGGTGCAAGAATTTGGATCGAGCCAGAAGCGCATCTTCCTCGAATCCGTCGATTGGAATCGGTGAGGTAGTAGGAGAGGAGACGGCGCATCGTGACGATGTACTGATCTGCGCGGAAATCGCGGCGGGCATGCCGGAATCGAGAGAGGATGTGTGCCCGTCATCGGCTCTACTGTGATTAACGGGATTTTTGGGTTCGACTTTAGGGTTGAGGGTTCGACAGGGATTCAAACTGCGGGGAGAGGGGGCGGCTGCGGTGGTTTTGGAGGGGCCGACGGCGGGAGTGGGAGCGGGGGGCATCTTGGGGGTAAGAATTTGAGGACAAAGTGGAGAAGGCGTTGGAGGACTGATGAGTCTGCCGTTAAGGGGTTGCCTAGATAAATGCGTATTTTTGAACTTGGTCAAACGACTCATTGAAGATGTTACTCTTAGACCAAAAATTGTGCCCATTTGTAGACCGCAGTTATGCACAAACATTTTAATGGTTTACACTGACACAAATGTTGGTGTATTAACAAAAATTTACACGGACACAATGTATTGATGCGTTAACAAAAATTAGTTTTACACTAACAAAAAATGTTGGTGCAAAACTGTGGGGCACAAATTGGGATACAAAATGTTGGGGTACAAGTAGCTTTATCCAACGACTCATACCTCAGAAATCAGTGATTGGACTAATCATTGGCTTTGTTTGGGGCAGCGTTTTCGATTAGCCTTAACGTTTTGGATAAAATTTTAATGGTGTAGATTAATTCCGAAAACGCTAACTCTACAGGCTACCGTCGGATAGCCTTTTCAAAACGCTAACGCTAATAGCTAACGCTGACGCCAAACGGGGCCATTATCTACCTCAGTTCCGTTTCGTATGGAACAGTAGCAAAGAATTTTGGTTTTGATGGGAAACATACGGACTAGGGAGGAAATGTTTTCAAGAATAAATGAGGTAGCAAAGAATTTTGGTTTTGATGGGAAACATACGGACTAGGGAGGAAATGTTTTCAAGAATAAATGAGGCAAAATCTTGGTCCATTTGCTAAATTCATACTCCCCTCTTCCAATATTTGTCCGACATTATGTTCGGTAATATTTATCGACCTTTTCTTTTTAGAGCGTGTTATTTAGAACTTGAACTCTTAACTTTCAGTTTTTTCTAGTTCCTTCCAAATCATTCCAGTTTATTTCAGTTTTTTACAGTTCCTTCCAGTTTTTTTTCCAGTTTCTTCCAGTCCTGCCAGTTCTTAACAATATGTCATCGACATATAAGATTAGGAATACTATTACACTCCCACTGACCTTCTTGTATACACAAGATTCGTCAGAGTTCTTCTTGAAACCAAAACTGGAAATGGTTTCATCGAAACGTATGTACCAACTCCGAGATGCTTGTTTCAATCCGTAGATTGAACGTTGCAGTTTACAAACTTTGGCAGATTGACCAGCAATTTGAAAACCGTCAGGCTGTGTCATGAAGACATCCTCTTTGAGGTTCCCGTTAAGGAAAGCCGTCTTGACGTCCATCTGCCAAATTTCGTAATCATAATAGGCTGCAATCGCAAGCATTATCCGAATGGATTTTAGCATAACAACTCGAGAAAAGGTTTCATCATAGTCAATTCCGTGGATTTGCCTATAACCTTTTGCTACCAATCGAGCTTTGAAGGTATGAACCTTCCCGTCTACGTCTGTCTTCTTTTTGAAGACCCACTTGCATCCAGTGGGTTTTACCCCTTCGGGCGCATCAACCAAGGTCCAGACTTGGTTTGTGTACATAGACTCCATTTCAAATTTTATGGCTTCGAGCCATAGATCGGATTCGGGGCATGTAATTGCCTCGAGATAGGTCTCTGGTTCGCCGTGATCTACCAACAAGACGTCACCTTCATCAGACATGAGAAATCCATATCTAACCGGAGGATTACGTATCCGGACTGACCTACGCGGTATATCTTGAGCAATTTGAGGTTCAATTGCTTGATCTCTTTGCTCAGGTTCCAACACTATCGGGATTTCCTCTTGTGGTTTCGAATTTCTTTGAGGTCTACCTTTCTCCCACTATTGATAACAGAAAGAAACTCCTTCTCAAGGAAGGTTCCATTCCGAGCAACGAAAATTTTGTTATCGGATGGATGATAGAACTCATACCCTCTAGTTTCCTTGGGGTATCCCACAAAAATTACTTTATCAGATTTAGGCTCCAACTTACTACACGTCATGAGACGTTTTACATAAGCTTCACAGCCCCAAATCTTAAAGTACGAGAAACTCGGTTTTCTCCCACGCCATAGTTCGTAGGGTGTGCTCTCGACAGCTTTAGATGGAACGCTGTTGAGTGTGTGTGTTGCTATTTTCAATGCATATCCCCAAAATGATTCTGGCAATGTTGACAGAGTAATCATGCTCCAGACCGTGTCTAGCAAAGTCCGATTTCTCCTCTCAGACACTCCATTTAACGGAGGTGTCCCCGGAGGAGTGAGTTGGGATAAGATCCCATGCTCTTTCAGATAGTCATCGAACTCCAGGCTTAAGTACTCACCTCCTCGATCCGAGCGGAGGGTCTTAATACTTTTGCCTAATTGTTTTTCTACTTCGTTCTTGAATTCTTTGAATTTGTCAAAGCATTCCGACTTGTGTTTCATGAGATACACATATCCATATCTACTAAGGTCTTCAGTAGATGTAATGAAGTAAGAATAACCACCTCTAGCAACAGTGTTAATTGGACCACACACATCAGAGTGTATGAGACCCCATAAGTCACTCGCCCTTTCACCGTGACCGGTGAATGGAGCCTTTGTCATTTTACCAAGTAAACAAGATTTACATACATCATATGACTAGAAGTCAAATGAATCAAGTACACCGGAACGATGTAACTTAGATATGCGTTTTGTTAGAATAATAGACCAACGCTAGAGGGGGGGTGAATAGCGTTTGATCAAGAAATCGCAGGAATAAAAAATGAAAAAACGAGAAGTAAAGAGAAGAGTAAGAGGCACACCGATTTTACCCTGGTTCACCACAACTTGTGGCTAATCCAGCCTCTCGAGAGACTCTCTCGAGCTACACTACTTCCATTAAGCTTACGTGTGCTTAACAAACCGTTACAACCTGAGAACTCGAGTCCCACGAGCCTCAACAACACTTGCTCGGAGATACCGCACTCCAAGACTTCAACCCGAAGGAAAGTACCTTTCCTTCGTACAACCAAGGGAAACAAACTTCCCTTAATGTCTATAAAAACTAAGAACACTCAAGAACAAGGCTCTCTCAAAAGAGTGAATATGAGTAAAGTAATACGCTC